TTAATAATGTTACACTTAATATATATATATATATATATATATATAGTTCTAGTTTCCCTAGAATTGTTAACAAGATTAGGGTCCTGAGGAGTAGTCTTAGTTGCAGGAGGCCTACTGGTGGTTTGCCTAGTCTCCCTTATGGAACAAAACAACTATACCAATAAGTATCTCCAAGTTTTAGGAGAGAGCCTAGTAGGAAAAACTTCATCCTCTAAGGAAGATGAAGCTCAATCGGTTACCAAACCTTTATTTAAGTCTTTTAGTTTAACTAGCCAGACTAGAAACAAGTTTAGAGCCATCCACCAAAACTGGACAAAGACCTTAGAAGACTCCAATAAGGTTAAAGATAGCTCCATCATTATCCCTGATACCCCTAGTTCTTCTCAGGTTGGATCTGTTAAGACAGGACCGATTATTAGGAGTACCTCCCATAAAGATCAATCTCTTAGAATTAACAAATTAGGAACTTCCTCTATAGGTTCTGATTCGGAAGATACTGAGCCCAGTAGTAAATCTGTTCTTCAGGTTAATCCTGTTATCAATAAGACTCTCAACTGGAGGCAGCCGGTTTAATAATATCCAGTATCATTACCCTCACTTGGGTTCATAAGAAGTTATAGTAGAATCTAAGTCAGAATTAATACAAAACCATCATATAAGATTATTTATAAGTTGAGGTCAATGAACATATATATATATATATATATATATATATATATTTTAATGAGCATAGTTTAAACAATGTCTCAAAATTGAATATTAAAATTTATTTTGTAATCAAAGAATGTAACTTTTGTTAATTAAATATCATTTTAATTTTAATATTGATAGGAATTGAAATTAAGAGCCCTCGAGACATGTTTTAGAGAAGGTTTTATAATTATTATATCAAAAAGTTTAATTGACTATAAACATAGCTTACACAGTGTCATAAAACTAATAACTAAAAACTAAGAGTAATTCTAATGGGAATTACTTGTCCCATGAAGTAATTCAAGTCCTGGTTTCTTTCTATTGGAGGACTCTGACGTGGCAACATGAGTTGCATTGCTTCTTTAAGCAACCGTTCCTTACCAGATTTCAAGCAGATCTTATTAAACATATTTGGGAATGTTTGAGAAATAATAATGATAAAAATTAATTTCGTATAATGTTTATGTATTTATCATTACTTTATTTTATTTTTAATATCTACTTATTGTGTATTTTTTTCTCGTAATTTATTTTCTTTCATTGTAGTGCAATTATCTTTTTTAATAAAAATTTAAATTTGGTTCATAAATGATTAGAAAAAAATTCTAAAAGTTAAATTTTTTAAAATTTCTTACCATTAGAGTAAATTTGTGTTTGAGTTGTTCAATGCTGACATGACATAATAGGGACCACTTTTTTCATTTTTCAATGTACGAAGCAACTCAAATGAGTTGCTTCCATTGGAGATTCCCTAATTCGTACTCAAGAAATTAAATTATATTTAATTAGTCATCGAAAATATTTATATGTTTCTTAAGAATCAAATATTTTTGTCTTCTTTTAGTATAATTTGACCAAAATATCTTATTATTTATCTCAATAAATGAATTGATGAGAATGATATTTTAATTGCAATTACATTTTTCTTTGACTGGATCATCTCGTGAACAATTTGAATCCTCTCCTGCAATATTTTCTCTCCTGCAACATTAATAGTCATTGGATATATCTAATGGCTCGAATTTAATCATTTAAGAAGTTACATTAATTATAAGATTAAATTTGAGCCATTAAATATATCCAATGACTATTAATGTTGCAGGAGAGAGACTGGAGAGAGACTAGAGAAAGAATATTGCAGGAGAGGATCCAAATTCTCTTGTGAACACAATCTTGTGAAAAACATAAGTATAAAGTTCCAAAGAAACAATATTCTTAGGAATGTTTCTTTTAAAATAATAAATCAAATATTAAAATTAACATTAAAGTGCAAAGTTTTTAGAGTTAAGATGGAATATACCTTATTTGAAGGAAAATATTCACTTTATTTACGATCATAATTTCTAACAAAAATTAATCAAGACTTGTGATGTGAATATTTTGTATCAATATTATGATTATCTAAAAATAAAAATAAAAATGTGTACCAAACATGGAAAGTAACTATAAAGTATAGAATACTCCAATTCAAAGATATACAAATTGACAACCTATACTAAAAATCATAACCTTCTATGTGTTTTTCAAAATTAACCAAGTTCAAAAAATATATACATTACACTATTAGATATTATAAAAAAAAAAAAAGATATTGATAATGTGATCACCAAATTTGTAAAGTGAAACCTCATTTTTTTCACTTGACAAATATGATAATTTGTTGCTAATTACCGATATTTTTTTTATGAATATCCTATAATGTATATATTCATTTAATTTTAATTACTTTTAAAAAGTACATATAAGGTAATGGATTTTAGTATTAAAGTATTCTCTAAAATTATTATTCAATGGTCAAAAGTGCTCATGGTTTACTATGAGTGTTTGTTTATGAACCAACAAAAAAGATAAAATTCCTCATCATAAGATAAAGATTACCATATACAAATAAATATAAAAGATAATGCCTAGTAACCATAAGTTCAAAATAATCTAAATATGAAATCAAAATTAAAATCCTCAACAATATCTAATTAGATCATAATAACCCCATCCCAGTGCCAATATAGTGTGAGAATTTACATTTATTTATGTTGTGTACTCGGCATTTATTTTAACATAATAGTAACTTAAATTAAAGCCCCATGCTTCCATTGCCTGTTAATAAGAAATGAATATCAATCATAAATATGATAATATAATTAATATTAATTCCAGACTGCTTAAAAAAGAAAAGAGTGCAGTGTTTGGGCTATAACTATAACTTACCAACTGATATCTGAATTCTAACTTACCATTACTAGCCGCGTTCCTGCCACGATTTCAAGCTTTAAAAGATTGTATAATAAAGCACAACATGTATGCAAACATGGGTAGATTCGATAGGGGTTGATTCACGCTTAAGCAAGGTCAGGGATTCAAATCCTGCCTTGTGTATGCAGTCGCGTTAAATTTTGGGGCCAGCTATCCCACCTTTTGAGGTGCCTTCAACGTCGAGGAGATTAGTCACTGTTATCGGCGGTGAATACTCCAAGAACGAACAAAAAAAAAACATGGGTAAATTATAAATTGCATGGACAAAGAAGAGCTCGTATATAAAAAAAGTTTTATAAAAACGAACAAGATAATTAGATGGATAATGATCAATAAATTACATGATCAGACATTTGTTAGCTATAAGCATCATCTTCGCAATTAAAATTGAATATTAAATTACAATTATTATTTTGACACGAAAAGTACAACTCGATTCGTAATAACAATCTGGCTACAAAGTCCTAAATGCTATGTTTCATGGAAAAACAACCTAATCAAGGGAACAATGTAATTCTACTTTGATTTCATTCTTGAGCCTTTTATTATTTGGACATATTTAAAATTTGACTCAGAGATTGACGTTTAAGTAAATTGTTTCCTTCATGCAATAGAAATAGAAAGTGACACCCTTCCACAGCATCAGATATTGTACATTTACCAACTGGTATTGTAAAAAAAAAAGTTAATTGGTTGGGGTCAAGGCTTGTTAAGGATTTAATAGGAATAATTAAATGTAGATAAGTGTCAGAGAAAGTAAATCTTTTTTACTAATTTTCCAAACGCAAGTAAATCACCAAAAAAAGAAGTCCTACCGGTCAAATAATTGTGGTTCCCCACCATCCATTAGTAAAATATCCCCCAGCTCCACCCTAAGTGAATCTTGGTGGAATGAAACCCCCGAGTAACCAGCTGCAGCAGCAATGCGTCCCCAGTTGGGGTCTCTACCATATATAGCAGCCTGATGAAACATTATGTTAGAAAATAGGCTTAGCCAAATTGAAAAAGTAAAAGAGTTCTTAGTTCAATTATCATGCCTTGACAAGTGAAGATGATGCAACTGAACGTGCAACTTTTGCAGCTTCAGCCTCACTATTTGCACCAGTCACACTGACCTGCAAAGTGAAGATCGAATTTGATGATAAATAACATTATCAAGCAAGACTGAGTCCACATTTTCACCACGCAACATCAACAGAACTTCAAAATCCAGACACAACTAGTCAACTACTAAATCACACAGAAATAGAAAATAAGAGTTGGATGGAATAACTAAGTGCCCATGTAAGACATCAGAAATGGCTTATTTATCATGCATATGCACATGCACGCATGAGAAAGAGGCCTCTGTCTTTGTCTTTGCATTTTTTCCCCAATAAATCTGTCAAATCTTGAGCTTAGTTCAGATTTGCCTCTCTCAGCAATAGATCTTATATCTAAATTGTCTCTACCTGGGGGGAGTTCCCATTTTAGGGCATGTTTTGTCATTCGCTCTATCATAACCGTCCTAATGGTCATGTAGATAGCACCATTTTATGATAGCTGGTGTCCAAACGGTCTTGTGTATCCACAGAAATTACCCCTCAACTGAAGATGACAGTGAACTCACTAGTGTAGGGAGTGAGTTTAAAAGTTCCCCCTGCTAATAAAATGAGAATAATATAACATTGGAAATGACAGAATATAAGTTTGTTGAAATACTTTTCAAGTAGCTTGTCCTGAATTTTGTGAATACTTGGTCCATATAACAGATAGCAACTTCACAAAGGACACAAGCAGACAAGATATAAAACCCAAAACGCAGCCTCTGCATTCCCTTCTTCATTCTTTGACCAATTACACCAGTGGATTCAACTAATATATCTTCTGCCTTCACTTTTTGTAGCTGCAATTACTAACATTTGCAGCAAAGACTAATCATATTTTGACATGGAGCACTCAGCACTATAAGCAAAATCAGTTTAACACAATTTTAGCAAGGCTTTCCACACATTCTATCACGTCCTGGTAATCTTCTTTGCCCTGGAGACATGAAAGGCTTCAACCACTACAATATTTGTTAAATTTTACTCTTTTTTATGTTTTTTTTAAGTTGAACAAACTAAGTTCATGGAAAAACATTCATCATTGCCGTGAAGTAACTAGAGTCTAGAGTGAAACTACAATTCAGTAAACTATTCATTGAATATAACCCAGGGGCAAACAAAACAGAAAAAACTTGTGGCTTACGGTTGCTGCATTTGCTTGACCTACATCAATTAACACAACACGCACCTGAAAAATTGTCAAACTTATTTATCGGCGGGCAATCAAGCAAGAAATATTGACTTTCAAAAGTGCAAACATGTTATGCCATTGAAATCATAGCTGAAAGATGACCAAACACCCTTTCCCCCAACACAAAAGCCCATTCAAACAAACAGAAAGAGAGAATCAAAGAAATCAGCATACTTTTATTTGTACTTTAATTTTTGTAGAAGCTCTTTCATGTAACTTACGCAAAAAACTGATGTACATAAATTTTATCTTATGGTAAAAACTCAATTTGTTTTACATTCTTATTTTCTTCTCATATAATACTTACAGAGAATTAAGTCCAAACAAGGTAATAGACAATGAGACTGCTTATAAAAGAAACTAAGAATTTGTTTGGATAAGTTTATTAGTAAACACTTGTAGAGAATAAAATAAGAAAAAGAAATGAAATAAGATTCTTTAAAAGCTGAAATTAGTAATTCAATTATCTTAACATTTAAAAAAAAAATGTTTCTTAACTTATATATAAGTTAATTTTAGTTTACAAAGGAGCTTATTTCATTCTTTCTTTGCATAATGGTTTATCAAAACCAATCAGAAGCGACACGAATTAAGTCTCTTATGGTGTTGAAGATATCTAACGTCTTTTTGCAATATAAGACGCAGCGGCAACATTATTTGTTGTAAAGGATCCTGAAAGAAATTAAATTTGATGACGTGAAGTGCAAACCTCCAAACACAAGTACTAGCTGTCACAGTCAACAAACGAACCTATGATATATGAACGAAAGTTGTTAACATTGAGAGTTTACGTAATCTTGTTGAAGTTTTATAAATTCGAATTGTAAACTCGAATCATAAACTCGTTAGAGTTTTCTTAATATAAAAAAAAATGTTATAATACTTATAAATAACATAATAACTCAATATTTCAACTCCATATTAAACTAAAATAACAAATTACAATATTAAAGTAGCAATATTTAGTAGTAAATCATGCAAAATTTCATGCATGATAGAAATTCTTAAAATAACAAATAAAAAATTAAGAAAAGACTAATTTTTACTTTTAGCAACAAAGGGATATGAGATTGCTCGACATTATACGAGATTGCTCAAAAATGAGTTTGCTTTCAAGTTGTATATGAGACTGACCAATCTAATAAACTCGGTAGTTATTATAAGTTATCACTCGAGACTGACAACCATGATATGAATAATGTTAGAAAATGACAGTCATTGGCAACATTGTGCAAGCTCTATGATATGGCCATAGGAAGCAGCGCTAACATGTTTTTCTCCTCTGTCTATGGAAGATGAAGTAAAGATTGACTAAAGTAAAGGTCAATTGAAATTGTAGAAGAGTATCTATGTTAGAAGACTTGTATGAGGTAAATGTTTGACAGTGAAACAATTTAAGAAACATTAGCAGTTTCTTTTATTGAGAATAATGTTACATACTTGCACTTGTCTCACTGTTATAAGTGTATCATATTACAAAGAAAACACTGAACAGTTATTCAAGAGTCAAATAAATAAATCCAACATTCAAAGTCAGATAGAAAATTGAAAGATGTGAGTCATCCCAGAGTTGTTCATGATTTGGTGCCCAGCCGACAAGATGTAGCAATCAAAATGTTGTTGGTTTATTCCAGCATATCCTCGTATAACATCTTAAGTTCTTGAAAAATTACTCATGGATTTTAAGAAAATAATTCACACTTCAGTCAGGACTTTTTTGTTTCTTCTGCATCAATATGTCTCCAGGGGTTGAGAGCTTCTCTAATTGCCTGAGCATCTGGGGAATTCTCCCAGGCACGCTTTTCTGACTCCAAAACAGTTACTTTGTCATCTGTACAAATACAATGCGAGGAGAAATTAAAACAAATTCAAATTTTTATATAGTCTAAATCCTTTTATGAAAAAAATAAATCATGGGAGTTGCTACAATCCCTAAGAAAACAATTATGAAATTCTCTTCATACGCATAATGTTATGTTGATTGGACAATTTGAGCAAAAGAAATAACAATAAAAGACATGTATGACAGAGTACATAATATTTCCCTAGCATCTTTCTCATTGGATGACCATGACCCTTCCAAAAATCAATATTCACTACATCATGAAATCGTGTATCCACTATCCAATAGTACTGGAAGCAATACAATACTCAAGTCTCAAGATACTAATCTAGTAACCAAAATCAATAACTTGCTACTAGACAACTCAAAAGGTCATTCATATTAAACGAGAATGTAAAATTACTATAAATTCTAAAAGCCAGTTTCAATACGAGCAGCAAATGGAAGGGCAGAGCACCAGTGATTAAAGAATAAGGAAAGTTCTCACACAGAAGCCAGTTTTGATCATGAACATCTCCATAGAAGCCCCAACCAAAGCCGACACGACCCCAATCTTCAAGTACCAGTCAAGAAACTTCATTATCAACTGAATGAACCGTAATCAATGATTATTGGAGTTAAAATCTGAATACAGAAATGGAACTAGTTAAACTTATTAAATAAAAATGATAATCACAACAAATGCACAATTGAATTTCAATTTTCATTATCGAGAAACATTTGAAATAACTAGAGCCAGAAAAGGAGCAACTTGAAGGAAGCAGAAGTCATACTGTAATGTGATTCCAGAAAAATGAAACAAAAAACGCAGAAGCTAATTGCAATACCACTAAGTGATTCCAGATTAAACACTGAAATTCATATAAAAATGAGATCTGTCACCAAAAGACAAGCGAACAGAGAGGGAAAGTAATCATGGCACTGATGGGGTGGGGGGAGATAAAAGAATGTATTTTTTGTGTGTGTGAAGGTGAGAGTTGGGCATGAAAGGAATGAAACCAAAATAACATGAAGTTCAATAGCTCCCAAAAAAAAAAAAAAAAAAGCTACACGCAGAGTCAAAATCTTGATGAATGGGACGAAAACGGAAAAGGGGGAAAAGAAGAAATGCAAAATAAAAGGATTAGAGATGGGAAGAAGAAGAAGGGAGAAGAGATAGCAATTACAAAGAGCAGAGTAGATACCAGAAATTCGGAGTTTGCGGGAGCAGCATAAGTCTTTTCCTCCAGGAAATGTTTTTCCATCTTCTGTAGGGCGTAAATGGGCCAAAGCCCAACAAGTTTCAACAAGAACCTTTCCCATTCCCTCCAACCACCAATTATAAATGTAACTTCTCTTTCTTCCATTTCTTTCCTACATAGCTAGATTACCCAAATCTATGGATTAATTCTCATATCACAAAATCATACGTCCTTCATTTCCATTCTAATATTTCCATAACTTTCCAATCTCCTTCGTATTTTCTAATCTCCCTCGTTCACTACCAAGCTTAATGATGGCACTTGACAAATGGAAGAAAAAAGTCAACATTAAAAATACAGATTTAATTAAAAACTTAAATCCTAAACCTTAAACATATTTTATTATATTAAATATATAGCACAATATTTATAAATATTAAAAAAATACATTATATTTTTATTTTAATTTATTTTTATATTCATTTATTATAAAGTAATATACAAAAATAAATAAATTTAAAGATCAAAAGTAATTCATCTCCAAATTAGAAAAATCAAAATAGAACAAAATTTTGAAGGATTAAAATCAAACTTGAAAAATTTTAAAGATTAAAAATATTTTTATCTTTAAAGAATATAATATAAAAAAATAAAAGAACTTTAAAATCATATCACAAATTTATATTTATATATATATATGTATATATATATATATATGAGATAAATTTGTTTTTAAAAGTAATCTCAAATTTATATAATTTTAAAAAAAAAATTGAGTCCCTCTTAATGATGAGTTTAGGATGACCACTCTTTCAAACTATCTTCAAAATCGATGTTAAAGGTTAACACAAATCATTAGACAAACTCTAACCATTAGACCAAAATGTTTGATTGACTAAATTATATTTGATTCATCATTGAGAATATTTATACATGTTTGCTAAGAATCAAGTATTTGTCTTCATTTAGTATAATTTGACCAAAATATCTTATTATTTATCTCAACAATTGAATTAATGAGAATCATACGATATTTTTATTGTAGTTACGTTTTTTCCAACTCGATCCTCTTGAGAGCACAATCTTGTGGAAAACATAAGATAATTTTCAAAGAAACAATATTCTTAGAATTGTTGGTTTTAAAATAATAAACTAAATATTAAAAATTAACATTAAAGTGCAAAAGTTATTAGAGCTAAGATTATATTAGGAGGATAATATTCATCTTGTATTTACTCACAATCTCTGGTAAACATTAGTCACTATTTTTATCGATAGGTATTTTGTACTAATATCATGGTTATCAAAAAATTTATAAATAAAAAAAATTGTGTACCCAACATAAAAAGTAACTAGGCTTAAATATATTTTTAGTCCCTCAAATTTAAGACAAATTTGTTTTTGGTCCTTCAAATTTAAAACTATTGTTTTTAGTCCCTGTAATTTTCAAAAATCTTGTTTTAATTCCTTAGGTCACAAATAACATATTTGAAAGTGACTAATTAAGACAGTTATACAATATCAAACTGATTTAATGTAATATTTTCACTAATAGAGACACTAATAGGTAAATTTTATGCAATAATATTTGATAAATTTTTTAACAAAATTTGAATATAAAGACTAAAATAAGATTTTTTGAAATTACAAGAACTAAAAACAACAATTTTAAATTTGAGGGACTAAAAACATTTAAGCCAAATAACTATAAAAAATACTTCAACTTACAAGTATACAAATTGTTGACCTATACTAAAAATCATTATCTTCTATATAATTTTTAAAAATGATCAAAGTTCAACAAACATATATATGACATAACACTATTAGATATTATAAAATTAAATAAAAATTAGATATTAGTAACATGATCATCAAATTTGTAAAGTGATGTTTCAATTGACAAATATGATTTGTTTTTATTTATAGATATCAAATTTTTTGGTGAACATAATATCTAATAATGGGTTGTATATTCCTTGAACTTTGGTCACTTTTAAGAAAGGTAATGATTTTTAGTGTTAGAATATTCTCTATAATTATTAATATTCAGTGGTCAAAAGTGCCCAAAGTTTACTTTGAGAGTTTATTTATGAACCAACAAAAAGATAAAATTCCTCATCTTGAGATAAAGATTACCAAATACAAATAAATATAAAAGATAATGCGTAGTTACCATAAGTTCAAAATAATCTCTAAATATGAAATCAAAATTAAAATCCTCCACAATATCTAATTAGATCATAATCAACCCCATCACTGTGCCAATATAGTGTGAGAATTTACATTTGTTTATGTTGTGTACTCGGCATTTATTTTAACATAATCATAGCTTAAATCACAGCCCCATGCTTGTCCACGTCCTGGTCCATTGCCTGTTAATTAGAAATGAATATCAATCGTAAATATGATAATATAATTAATATTAATTCCAGACTGCTTAAAAAAGAAAACAGTGCAGTGTTTGGGCTATAATTATAACTTACCAACTGATATCTGAATTCTAACTGTGTCGTGAGTCTCCCCAGCCTTTCTAAGATAACTACTAGCCGCGTTCCTGCCACGATTTCAAGCTGTAAAAGATTGTATAATAAAGCACAACATGGATCATGGATAGATTATAAATTGCATGGATAAAAAAGGGCTCGTATATAAAAATAAAAATTTATAAAAACGTACAAGATAATTAGATGGATAATGGATCAATAAACTACATGATCAGACATTTGTTAGCTATAAGCATCATCTCCGCAATTAAAATTGAATATTAAATTACAATTATTATTTTGACACGAAAAGTACAACTCGATTCGTAATAACAATCTCTTGCTACAAAATCCTAAATGCTATGTGTCATGGAAAAACAACCTAATCAAGGGTACAATGTAATTCTACTTTGATTTCATTCTTGAGCTTTTTATTATTTGGACATATTTAAAATTTGACTCAAAGATTGATGTTTAAGTAAACTGTTTGCTTCAAGCAATAGAAATAGAAAGTGATACCCTTCTACAGCATCAGATATTGTACATTTATCAACTGGTATTGGAAAAAAAAAGGTAACTGCTTGGGGTAAAGGCTTGTTAAGGATTTGCTAGGCATAACTAAATGTAGATAAAGTGTTAGAGAAAGTAATTTTTTTTTTACTAATTTTCCAAACGCAAGTAAATCACCAAAAAAAGAAGTCCTACCGGTCAAATAATTGTGGTTCCCCACCATCCATTAGTAAAATATCCCCCAGCTCCACCCTAAGTGAATCTTGGTGGAATGAAACCCCCGAGTAACCAGCTGCAGCAGCAATGCGTCCCCAGTTGGGGTCTCTACCATATATAGCAGCCTGATGAAACATTATGTTAGAAAATAGGCTTAGCCAAATTGAAAAAGTAAAAGAATTTTTAGTTCAATTATCATGCCTTTACAAGTGAAGATGATGCAACTGAACGTGCAACTTTTGCAGCTTCAGCCTCACTATTTGCACCAGTCACACTGACCTGCAAAGTGAAGATCAAATTTGATGATAAACAACATTATCAAGCAAGACTGAGTCCACATTTTCACCACGCAACATCAACAGAACTTCAAAATCCAGACACAGCTTAACAGCTACTAAATCACACACAAATAGAAAATAAGAGTTGGATGGAATAAGTAAGTGCCCATGTAAGACATCAGCAATGGCTTATTTATCATGCATATGCACATGCACGCATGAGAAAGAGGCCTCTCTGTTATTAGCCTCCCTTCTGCAAGAGTTCAAGAGGAGGGCTGCTACCGTCTCCTCTTTGTTTTTGCATTTTTCCCCAATAAATCTGTCAAATCTTGGGCTTAGTTCGGATTTGCTTCTCTCAGCAATACATCCTATATCTCAGTTGTCTCAACCTGGGTTGGGGGGGTGTAGGGAGTTCCCATTTTAGGGCATCTTTGGTCATTCGCTCTATCATAACCTTCCTAATGGTCATGTAGATAGCACCATTTTATGATCGCTGGTACCCAAACGGTCTTGTGTATCCACATTGGTAGAAGTGGTGATTAACCTTCAAGTTGCAACACTTTCCATGTTGTCTACGATGTGAAAAATGCCTAGTCATCAAGTAGCAGAGCTATATATCGTTGGTTAGTTCAAAGTGAACATTAAGGTTGTGTTTGGATTGAAGGATGGATTTTAGTTCATATGCCACAAGGCAATGCTCCTATGGCTCCCATTGAAAGGATGGAGATGTACAACTCCTCCCGAGTTGGTAATACATACTTGCCAAATGCGCATGTTCCCATTGGGAAGTGATAAAGAGGCAACATCATGAGACATTGGACGAATATTTGAACAGATTTAGACAGTTAAAGTCTCGATGTTACACCAATATTCCAGAGCATGAGTTGGTAAAAATTGTAGCCACGGGGTTGGATTTTTCGATTCGAAAGAAACTTGTGAATGAACAATTGAGAGATATGGCTCAACTAGCATAGAAAGTGAGACGAATTGAAAAAATTCGAGCAGAGAAAGAAAGGTTGAGAAAATTTGACAAGTTCGTTCGAAAAGAAAAAAGTGGCATATTTAGACAATATGGACGTTAACGATGATAATTTCGAATGTCTAAATGAAGAAATGGAAGTGAACTTAGCTGAATTGCAACCCGGGCCAACCTATCAATGCCAATTATTAAAGCCTGGGGAAAATAATATAGAGGCCGGATCGAATAGAAAATATAGTTTCGATATAACAAAAGCTAATAGAATATTCGATATTTTACTGAAAGATAAGCAAATTATACTTCTGGAAAATCATAAAATTCCTCATTTTGAACAAAGAAAAGGGAAAAAATTTTGTAAGTATCACAACATGTATGGTCACTGGACTAACAATTGTGTACGTTTCAGGGACATGATCGAGAAAGCGATTAACGATGGTCGCTTGGCTTTCAAGGAGAAGGAAATGAAAATTGATACTGATCCATCCGCTGCACAAGCAGGATATGTGGAACCTCTCCCTACGGGGATCAATGTGCTTGAAATCGATATGGTTGACCTGGTTGTGAATGAAGAGGAAGTTGTCAAACCCATTACGGATGAAAAACCGGAAGAGCTCTTAGATGAGTTCGCGAAAGAGCAGGAACCCATTTTTCCGAAAGAGGGGGACAGTTTGCTCGATTTCCTTTCGAGGAAGAAAGATGATGATCGGGAAGTTATGCTTTGTCCGAGATGTAGCGCTGTGTTTGACAGATCAGCAGCTAAGGCTTTCGAGGAGTCTAAAATTATGAAAAATTATAAAGTTGAGAAGGCTCGAGGAAAGTTGAAAGTGAACACTGGCATAGTGATGCGTCAAGTTCATATGCCACAAGGCAATGCTCCTATGGCTCCCATTGAAAGGATGGAGATGTACAACTCCTCCCGAGTTGGTAATACATACTTGCCAAATGCGCATGTTCCCATTGGGAAGTGGAATTCTCCACAAAGGCCCAATGTTGGAATGGGTCGAGGAAAGCAAATTGTGAACCACTCGACTTGCGAGTTCGACTGATATTATCCCTTCCGACACTCTGCTAGCTTCTATTCCTCCAGATGACATAGACCTCATAAGCTTCTTTGATGACGAAGTTGCTCAAGATGACATAATGTTAATACTTCGTACATTTCTGACATTTCGGCCCTGCAGCTCTGGTCTAATCATAGATGTCAGTGCTATGTCACGGTCGAACTGCATCTCCTCTGGGATGTCTGGAAATGATAATTTTTGCCCCTGATACTTCAAACCAGCCAGAGTTAACCAGTCAGATGGTTTTATTTTTATCTTTGTTTTGTTCACGTCACTATAGAGGAAACCAGCTTCAGATACTCTCAAGTTCGATAGAAGACCTTAATAAGATCTTTAAAGAAATCACATTTGAGAGCCACAAAATGCTGCAAACCTTGATATTCTATATGGTGGTGAAAATACAGTCCTGATGTGACAAAGTAGCTAAAGTCCATAATCTTTGGATGAAGGACAATCCTGTGTAAAAGTCCTTGCCATATTTAATCATCTGATCACGCTGACTGAAAAAACGTGTCTGATTTAAAACTTGTTCAATTTGTGGTAGTCTAGGACCAGCTGCTTTGTCCGAGGTGGCATGAGTTTTTCCTTTTGTTTCTTTTGAACTTCTTTTCCTTTTGTTATTGGTTATTTTATATATAATTTTCAGGTATGGCATCCGGTTCAAGAAAAAGAAGTTCAAAAGAAACAAAAGGAAAAACTCCTCGGACAGAATAGTTGGTCCCAGACTACCACAAATTGAACAAGTTCTAAACCAGACGCGTTTTTTCAGTCAGCGTGATCAGATGATTAAATATGGCAAGGAGTTTTACCACAGGATAGTCCTTCATCCAAAGGTTATGGACTTTAGCTACTTTGCCACATCAGGGCTGTATTTTCACCACCATATAGAATATCAAGGTTTGCAGCATTTTGTGGCTCTCAAATGTGATTTCTTTAAAGATCTTATTAAGGTCTTCTATTCGAACTTGAGAGTATCTGAAGCTGGTTTCCTCTATAGTGACGTGAACAAAACAAAGATAAAAATAAAACCATTTGATTGGTTAACTCTGGCTGGTTTGAAGTATCAGGGGCAAAAATTACCATTTCCAGATATCCCAGAGGAGATGCAGTTCGACCGTGACATAACACTGACATCTATGATTAGACCAGAGCTGCAGGGCCGAAATGTCAGAAATGTAAGAAGTCTTAACATTAACGACAGACTCCTACATTATGTCTACGTCCATATATTGGCTCCCCGATCAAGTAACTTTTCCCAACTCTTGCAGGAAGACATTTTTGTGTTATGGGTCTTAAAGAATAACATTTTGATCAACTGGCCCCATTATATCATGCAACACATGGTCAAATGCAAGGACAATAGGATGCCTCTTCCATACCCCATTTTAATTTCACGCATTTTGGCTATTTCTAGCGTAGACTTATCAATTGATGTTGCAGTCGAATTAGGGTGGCCACAATTTTTTAATAAAAAAAACCTTGAAAAAATTAAATGTCGTCAATGTGAACGGGGTTTGGTTACATGGCAGGGATAATCATGATCATGGCCAAAATGTTGAAGATGAAGACCATGCAATGCCTGAGGACCATGCTGACGAGCAATCTGCCGACATCACACAACAACCCCCAGTCCAGTATGATGGTCAAATGCTTTCGCAAATATGGACTGGCATTCAAGGGTTACAAGAAAGATTAAATAATTTGACCATCAATGTTAACAGAGGTTTCGATCGAGTACATAACAAGCTTGATGACCTCGAACAAAAACTTGATGACTTTCAGCGTTCATTTGAATAGACTATGTTATCTTATTTTGTTTTTTATTATTGTAATTTAAACATGTTTTATTTAGTTGCAACATTTTTCATTTCTATTATTTTATGTCATATTTAATTATTGTTTACTAAATTGATGACTGAATTATATTTTCTGTTCCATTTTACAAATATGTTATTACCCATCTACTTTGTAATGTTAAAAATTTCTTAATTTTTTAATTGGTAAAAATTAACTTGTACAATTAACAAATGTATCTTCATTTCATTCTAATTTATGTCAATAATTTATCAATTTTTTTAATTTATTAATTAACTTTCAAAAAATTTATTGTACATTTTTTTATATTAAGAAAATTCTATTATTTAAATATTGACATCAAAAAGTGGAAATATAAAAAAAAATAAAGTAATACATGTTTATAAAATTAAAATAATAACACTTTCATAAACATTAATAAAATAATGTTAGAAAATATAATTATCATAATATATTTTGTTATTATTATTTATTATTATAAATATTATTATTATTATCATTATTATTAATATTATTATTATTTATTATAATTAGTATCATTATTATTTATTATGATTCTTATTATTTTTTTAATATTTATTATTATTATTATCATTATTTATTATTTTTTAATAAATTATACTTATTAATATAATTTTATTGTAATTATTATTATTTACAATAAATAATATTCTACTCATTTTTAATCCAAGGGTAAAAGTGTAAATTACATATTCATCTATTAAATTTTTAATTTTTATCTATCACATCAATCAATTTCTACACAAATTCTCACAAACTTTCCACTCACTTTCCACTATCTTTCCCTTAATCCAAACAACCTCACTTTCTACTCTCTTTCTCTTCAAATCTTTCCTTTTCCACTCCCCCAAATCCATCTTTCAATCCAAACACAACCTTAAGGAGTAAAAATATTTTCAATCAAGGCTCGTGCATAAGGAATGTGGAGGATTAATATTGGATGTATAAAAAAACACAGGACTCCAACATCCCACAATAACTTCAATTTTAGCATTTGAAACATGTCTCAAAATAAATTATATTTTCACTTTTCAATGTAACACTAATTATTTTTTTCCTAATTTCCCTCTTTATAAATTATTCAACCACTACAATTAAGAGTAAACATCTATTGAGAGGTTAGGCTATTCTAGTAAATCAAATAGTGATACATTTATTATTGTCCTTAATTTTTGTGTAGAAACTTTAAAATTCAGTCATTGTACAGCAGATAGAGTAGCATAAATCAATAGCCATGATGCACAGATATCCTTGACAAAAAGCATACCTCAACGAGGCATGTTGCTCCCTCTCCATCCCAAGCTATTGATTTGGCAAGACCTTGCATTACCTAGAAAGAAATATCAATCCAAAACTTCACATCTGCTGACTGAGCATTTTGAATAGATTACATGCCTCAAGTAAATCATGGGACACGATCTAAAGAATGAAAATATGAGATGAAAAAATAGTGATGAAATTGTACAGGGACAACTTTACCGCATCTAGGCATGCCTGAAGTTGAATAGCCTCATCATTGTCCAGAGAAGATATGCAGCCTATCCCAGACAACCCACTAGCCAAAGCAATAACAGTATCATTAGTACTAGTATCTCCATCTACCTGTAGCAAAATAATGCAAAGACAACACAAGAATCAACTACGTTCCAAAAAATGGGGGCAAAAGCTTTGGAGATATAACATGGCATCACCTTGCACAAGAGAACTACATTAAATTTGGCTAATAATCTTTTGACATACAATACAATAATTACAACATGTTTTTGCATTTTAATTTAGGTAAATTACTGAAATTTTTTTTATAAAAATACTAGCTCCAGTCCTAATTATAAGCAAACATAAGACAAATCATTGAGACCAAAAAAAATAATTAATATTATTACTTTTATTTAATTCTACCATAAATTCAAGTTTTATTCTAAATATACCCTTTACTTTAAGCGGTTGTTATATAGTTATAAGTGAATGCATAGAAAATAGAGTTAACAATAAATGAAGGGTATAAAAGAAATTTAATACTGAGTAACTTTAAAACTAATAATTGTTGTTTATAATTAGGACCAAAAAAAAATCTAATTTGTTACTTTTAATTAGGACCAAAGGTAGTATAATATAACACCACTATATGACTAACTGAATTTGTAATATCCAGAAAAGTGTGAAAAGCACATACAGTTATCTGGTTGAAACTTCGGTTCACAGCAACCTGCACCATCTTTCTCCAAACATCACTGGTTACCCGAGCATCAGTTGTTATTACCCCAAGCATGGTAGCCATATTTGGGTGGATCATTCCAGAACCTTTTGCCATTCCCCCAATTCTGACCTTAGTTCCTCCAACCTAACCAACACCAACAATAATAAGAATTAGATTATCTCTCTTTTCTCTCAAACTTCAACTTTGCAAACAAATATAGAATTTGGGACTGAACCAAACATGTTTCATGAAGTTAATTCCCAAAACTGTAAGAGTTAAGGTTTTTGTCTTAGAAATTACAGGTTCACAGAAAAATGGAAAACTATCATCCATGTCAATATAGAAATCTCCTTCACAGCTAAGTTGTCGGTTTGTTTTCCCATTAGTCCTACAACCTTTGGGCCACTGAGTGCTGACCCCATGTGTATCAACAACTCATCTAGGTGAACTGAACAAGGCAATTTTATGACTTATCATTTATACATAGGACTAAATACAAATGTCAAATGTGTGTTATCCATATATGTAAGTGTGCTTATAAAACAGTTAAATATGAACTAGTTGTATGAACTTAAAACAAGTGAGCAAAAATAGTAACAAGTAATACCAAAGACTCAATTGCCACACTCTTGCTAACAAGATCTGTCGTGGTGATGGCCACTGCTGCAGAATCTGCCCTGTATGCAAGCTTAATAAGATTTGATGAACAAAGGATTGAATAATGAGGGATTGAAAAGTAGACACAACATGTGCTGTTCAGAGTTATGTATTTTTCAAAGAATAAGAAACCAAAATGGTGAAAGAAGGCAGGAAAAAAGAAATCTACATGTATACAAAGGCCATTTAATAATCACACACACACATAATGCGAGTTTCTTAACATGATAACATGTCAATTATAAAATTTAAATAAATTTAAATCAGAGAACACATGAATTACCCCTCAACTGAAGATGAAAGTGAACTCACTAGTGTAGGGAGTGAGTTTAAAAGTTTCCCCTGCAAATAAAATGAGAAGAATATAATATTGGAAATGACAGAATATAAGTTTGTTGAAATACTTTTCAAGTAGCTTGTCCTGAATTTTGCAAATACTTAGTCCATATAACAGAAAGCAATATCACAAAGGACACAAGCGAACAAAATATAAAACCCAAAACGCTGTCTCTGCATTACCTTCTTTATTCTTTGACCAATTACACCGGTGGATTCAACTAATATTTCTTCTGGCTTCACTTTTTGTAGCTGCAATTACAAACATTTGCAGCAAAGACTAATCATATTTTGACATGGAGCACTCAGCACTATAAGCAAAATCAATTTAACACAATGAAAGGATTAAGTATACATACCTTAGCAAGGCTTTCCACACATTCTATCACGTCCTGGTAACCTTCTTTGCCCTGGAGACATGAAAGGCTTCAACCACTAAAATATTTGTTAAATTTCACTCAAATTTTTTTTAATGTTGAACACACTAAGTTAATGGAAAAACATCAATGCCGTGAAGTAACTAGAGTCTAGAGTGAAACTACACCTCAGTAGACTGTTTATAAAAGAAACTAAGTGTCTGTTTGGATAAGTTTGCTTGTGGCTTACCGTTGCGGCATTTGCTTGACCTGCATTAATTAACACAGCACGCGCCTGAAACACAATGAGACTGCTTATAAAAGAAACTAAGAGTCTGTTTGGATAAGTTTCTCAATAAACACTTATAGAGAAAAAAAAAATGAAATAAGATTCTTCAAAAGCTAAAATTAATAATTGAATCATCTTAGTTTCTTCAAAATATGTTTCTTATCTTATAAGTTAATTTTAGTTTACAAAGAAGCTCATTTGTGTTTGCAGAGAGGTTTATCAAAACCGATCCTAAGCTTACGGTGTTGGAGATATCTAACGTCTTTTTGCAGTATAAGACGGGCGCAGCCGCAACGACGTTCGTTGTAAACGATCCTGAAAGAAATGGAATTCGATGAGGTGAAGTGCAAAAAACCACGAAACACAAGTATTAGCCACCAGAATCAGCAAACGAACCTGCAGACACGGCATCAACATCGCACGTGACAAGCGCGAGATCAGGCTTTTCACCTTTGGCACGCAACCCTCCGTAGATTCCCGCAGCTTTGAATCCCTCTGCAGCAGTAACTCCGCCGGGAATCTGAAAACACTCGATTACAATGTGGCGTTTAAAGAGGAAAATTTGTGGAGAAGAAAGATTGGTTAGAAAAGTGACCTGGTTCCAAGGTCCTTGGGGGAGAAAAATAGGAGCAGGTGGTATGTGATTCTGCGTGGTTGATACAGCACGGATCCTGAAATGAGGCGCAGAAGAGGCTAATCCAAACATGTGTTTTGTCCGGGAAGAGAACATACATTGATGATGAGAAGAAGGAGTGAGTTTTGGGGAAGATGCTAAGTGAGGAATACACGAGTACATTTCTGTGAAATGTAATGTTTTAGGGTTTGATGAGAAGCGAGGCGAGGAAGGTAAGTGAGTGAGTTAACTGTGTGTGTGTGTATAGCTATGTTGTCGAGTTTTGGCTGCGCAGATTCTTCCACCCAACCAAACTAGTTAACAATTCTTTTCAAGGACATTATTTACGGCTAAGTAAACTGTAATACTGTATACTATATCGATATGGATCCTGGGTAAAAGTAAAGATAAAAATAGGTAAGAAATAAAATAAAATGGTGCTCCCGCCTCCAAATTTTTCCAAACAAAATTATATGAGTAATTAGCCTATGCATTGTGTTGATGATATACAAGGATTTTTTTTTTTTTTTTAATGTTGTCCAGTTATATTACAAGATTCAAATCACGCGCACCATGGTGTGACTTAATTGGTGTCTCGTTAATAAATAAAAAATTGACATATAATTTAAAATATTCATTTATATTTTTATCTTATTTTATATTACTTTATTTGACTTATTTTTATCTTTAGATTAAGAGAAAAAATGAATGTTAATAATTATATTTAAAATAATTATATTAATATAACTTAGAATCACGTGGAAAAAATTCTCATTTTTTTTCATGCAACTCATCAGAACATTTTCTTCAACAAGATTCCAAGTTTTAATTTATTTTTTTCACTCAAATCAAGTTATACTTTAGTTATTATTATTATTATTATTTATCTTTTTCATAGCTAATTACAAATATTCCAACCGCTTACTCCACTACCATGGCAGGTAATATGTTTTTATGTACAAAAATTTGACAACACAAATGAGTAGAGTAACTAGTCAAAATTTCATCAAGACAAAAAAAATGAAATAGTACATTTTATATAAATAATTGACAAGAATATTTTTTTCTCTAGTTAGTTGATTCAATCTACCTAAATTATTATTGACAATAGTATTAGAAAGATTAACAATAACTTGAAATCAAGTCAAAGAAGGTTTTCATGAAAAAGAAATTTCCCTAGTCTAGCATAAAAGTAAGGACAAATAAAATAATGTAAAAAAGAATAAAAATATAGGTAAATATTTTAAATAATGTGTCAATTTTTTATTGATGGGACACCAATTAAGACACAATGATGAGACTGATGATTTGAATCCATATGTCATATGTAAGATAATTATATCAATTTTTACAATAATTATTTTAAAATCATATATTAATAGTACATAAATATTCAACTCAAATTATACATATACTAAAAATTAAATTTAATTACTTTTTGATACTTATAGTTTCATAAACTTTACCTATTTAGTCATTATAGTCTAATTTTATAAAAATTTAAAAATATTTTTTTATAACTATAGAGATTAAAAAAAACAAAAATAGTTTGCATAAGAACTAAAATAGAATATTTTAAATTATAAAGATTGAAAAATAATTTTCATAAAATTACAGGAGTAAAAGGATAATTAAATATAAAAATTATTTATATTTTTATTCAACACCAGTAAAAAAATTATACTACTATTATATAAAGTTATTTATTTCTTAATTACTATTGATCTTAATTCATTTAAAGAGTATGGAAATTTTTTTAAAAAATAGTCATTAAAAGTGAATAAAGCAAATTCATTTTGCAATTTTCTTGTGATTTTTCTATAATTTTATTTTTACAAATTTTACTATAATTTTTGAAAAATACATGATTAATTCCTTAAGTTTCATGAAATACTCATTGAAAAAAAAAAGTTTTTCTTCGTAAAAAAAATTTGTATGGAAAAGAAAAATTGCAACTTTTTCACAGAAAGAAATTATAGACAATTTCTCTAATTTTTAATAGAAGCATAAGAATCATAGAATAACTTATATAAAAAGTGCTATTAATAAAGTAGAAAATACTTTTAAATCATAAAAGATAAATGATTAAGAAAATAAATATTTAAAATAACTAGTAAAAAATAATATTATCAAAAGTATTGCATTTAATTTATATATTGTACTATTTTATCCGTTCCATAATAACTACATCTGAAAAATGTTCAAATATAAATAATGTTCTCACATTTTAATGTAATATTAATTAAATTTTATTTATTTTATCTCTTCATATAAATTATTCACCTATCATAATTAAAAGTAATACATATTAAAAGAGTCAATTATTTTACTAAAAAGTAATACATATTAAAAGAGTAAGATATTTTAATAAAATTGTATAAAAAAAATCATGCATTTATTGCTATCTTAATCTATGTGGAAACTTTCCCCGAAGGAGTATATTTTGGCCCCTCCAATATATTTTATCAAGCTCTGCCACTGGTGTGTATATTCCAAAGAGAGACAATTCATGAACTCCAATTCACAGCAAAGAAACATTCTTTTTAGAGAAAAAAAAAAATAATACAGTAGGATTTTATAGCGAACATGCGTGCTAATAAAAAATGGTCAGCATGCTCGATCTTTCAAACTCCTCTATTTCTACCCTTTTAGGCCACCGTTCCCCATTTTTCACGCTTACTTTTTAACCCTACATTTTACAAAAAGAAAGAGACATGCTGGCTGCTACCTAAGACCCAGCCACTACCATCCATACTACGTGGGAAAAAACAAGAAATACAATACGGAACAAGAACATAGCAGCAATGTTACAGCGAGGAAAGTGCTAAAAAATGAATAAATAACAAAAAATTAGTTACAACACCAGATAAAACTCATTCTATAGCCTGCTGCACCGTCTTCTCCAGCATTGAAGTTTTATTGAAGAGGGTTAGCTGCACCTCTCTGAGGTATTTGGATAGCTGCCCAAACAATATAAAAAAGAAAACTTAATTGTAAATATTGTTGATGTCTACAACAATTTCTTCAAATTCCGGATACAAGTCGCCATGATCACAACCATGCTCTTATTATTATATTGTGTTGGTAAATAAAATAAATGTGCTGTTAATGAGCTACTTGTAAAGAAATCAATGAAAAAAAAAATTTATCGAAAATTATAATAGGCATTGGCAACTTTAAATGTTACACTTTCTCAAAAAATAAAAAATCCATTTTTGATTTCTTAGCATGCTCTAGCAAATAAAACAGGTCATATTTTAGTTAAGTAGGTCTTCCTTCAAAGAACTTGTGCCATTGCATACAATTAACAGCTAACACATTGCAGTCTTGCAGAGAATGAAACCTATGGCGTAGTTAATATCTCAATTCCAGAAACTATTTATTATCTAACTAATTTATAGTTTAACACATTCAACAAGAAATCACACTTTTTTATTTTAACCAATTCAGTCGATCCATGAATTTATTGGGTTCTCAGTACATTGGAAACATCTACTTCCCCTAGTTAACCAGTAAATGTTAGGATTGACCTACCTGATCTTCGCTCATCTTTCGGAAGCCCAATTTCTTAGTCCAAATTGACTCAGCATCCCCTGCTGCTGGAAGCACCAGCTTTTCTACATTTAGAGAATACAGCAACCGCTCTATGCAAGAGAACAACACTTGAAAATAACCCTAAATGAAACATCACAAGTTAATTAAACTTATTATCCTTACAAAAACATCTTTGAAAGATAAAGTGTCATCGAAATGCATCTATCAATTAACTATTTCAATTTTGGGCCATGCATGAATAACAAAGTTTCTTACTTTTCCTTGATGTGCTCTGCTTGTTGCGACCAGAGGTAGTTCAGCAACATTACGTCCAAAAATCCTAAGGAGCCCAGCAGATACTACAACAGAACTGTGCAAGTATGATACACATAATGTCATACACGACCAAATAGAAGCAATATCAGGAAAATAAAGAAAGTGGAGACAGCAGCCTACTTCACAATTAAAACAATGCAATACATCCCCCCAAACTCTTGACCTGAAATATTTCTCCTGCAAAAAATTCAAAATACAATATATTACCAGAAAAAAATGAACTAAAATATCGTGAATATTAAATAGAATCCTGGGATGCAACACACACTGATTGACAATCATTTACTACCTCTTGTAGACAAATGCAACACCATGTGACTCATGTCAACTAAAAAGTTATACCAAGACTCTTGATCAATATAAATTCAAATATACTAGGCACGAATTTAATTCACCCTAAAGTATGTTCCAAGTCCTGATGCAAAGAAATCTCAGAGAGCCAACAAAATAGTTTTATCATCAACCAGTAATTATGCAGGGAGATAGTGGAGGAGAGACTGAAAGGTAGAGAGGAATATTCATATTCAAGTCAGATTCAATTTATCCTGGTGGTAGCCTATACTAACATAAGACTTGATAATTCACAGTAGATTACATCATTTGGAAGGAGGCACAAGAATATAGAAGGCTGCACAGGCAAGAATCAACCACAGTAACCTACAATAAAATAATTCATATCTGCTTACCCATAGACCATAACAGGAATCAGATCACGACCAGATATTGCAACAATGGGATCAAAACACTCCTGCCAAAACGTATTCCCAAAGCATGAGAAGGGGAAAAATGAATATTCATTGTAATTCAAGTCAATTTCAAAGCCACTGAATACCCGACACACAATAATCAAATAGTAGATTAAGATAAAGATAGAACTAGAAGGACATCTTCGGATTTTCAAAATGCATGAAACTTGTAGTTGCATCCAGAGGAAGGCACCACTGTCTTACCAAGCTGACAGCAAATAGGTTGTTTTTGGACTGATTAAAAATTGCAAATGATTTGATTTGATTTACAAAACAATTTCCATGCTTGGAACAAAATAAAAATGAACTGACTTGACTTTATATTCATAATTTTACTTTGTTGCCCTTACTAATAATGGTCAAATAACTTGACTAATAAGAACAAAATGTTAATTCAATAATTAAAACTAAATTCAAATCAAATACACTCAAATCCGACCAGTTTTTAGTGGATTGATATTTGAACACAGCTAAAAAAAGAATTCTGAATCAAAAGAATTTCTATTTTATAACATGCCTAACAAAGCACTGCATTAATGAAAACAAATCAATTCCTAAAATATTTAATTCCAAACACACAGAATCCATGATCTCTTTCTTATCAAGTAAACCTCGAGATATCAGATTTCGAGAGAAGAGGTTACTTTTTTCTCATGGCCAAGACAAATGCATTAGATGAGAACACAACGTCAATAGCATCCTATATGACAGAAAATTTTCTCATCAAGAAAGTCTAAGTTACAGTTATCATTAATATTAAATCATTGACCTGTTATTTATATAATTAAACAAATTTGAACTATTTCATCAAGGTAAGCCAAGAGCAGTTGACATAACCAATGGAACATTAACAAATATGAAATATCAATCGCATATGCCCAAAAAAAAATCAAGTATAGCAATTAATAAACTTGGAAGCCATAAATACTCACTCGGAAAATTGCAGCAGCTCGAGAAAGCAGCGGTAAATGTTCTGGATAACGACTTTTTCCACTTAAAATTCTCCACTGGATATCATTCATGACCCCATAGGTACATAATCCCTTCTCGGCATGTTTCCTGATTAACCTTTCTGACAACGAAGCTGGAATAATGTCTGCTCCAGCAGAAACTGAATTCTGCAGAGCTACATATATTCGATTGCAGTCATCACAACAAAACCACTTATCCTTGGGCAGCTCCTGCGGTAAGATGTGATAATGAAAAAGTAAAACTTAATGCAAGTATCCTAAAAATATTTGCTAAAGGCCCAGTGCTTACTTCCAACTCACATAGCCCAATGTCCCGCAAGCAGCCAACATGATACTCCTTCTCACACTGGATATAACAACAAACAATATACTTAGCTTTTTAAAAATAAATAGTTCAATACAAATCTCGTCATGTATAAATTATACCTGGTCACAAATTATTACAGTTCGCTCATCAAATTTAGCAACACTGAAATCATGTTCCCTGTTGACCAATCAAAACAATTAGCACATTAGTATATACTAAAACAAAGCTTAATGGTAATAGAGATAGAGAATGTTTGTGACTGTGTGTATAACAAATAGCTTAAATTCTCTAGCAGAAAAACCCAATACAAATAGCTTAAATTCTGCATACATTGTCATTTAAAAAAAATAGAGAAAAGAAACATTAATACCAAAATTTCAAAATTCAATGGTGTATTACCACAAAATCACGAGCCTTCATTAATCCTGCCACCACACTACATTTCATACACATGCATTGTTTTGGCATGCTAACACTGTATGCCACGGAACTACTTGATACCATGAGCCAAAATCCAAAGACTTATTTGAATATAAAATTGCACACTTCCTTTGGAAACATCTTCCTCGTAAAGTTGTAAGAAAATGATTTGTTTTGATAAATGCTTTAAGATTAAGATAAACAAACCATAAACCTACCTGCAAACAACACATCCACCCATCTCAAATTCTGGTGTTTTATCAACCCGTGTCAACCGTATCATGATTGGCCTCACAATAGAAGATTCTCTTCCATTACCAGCATTATCTCTACAATTTAGACATTGCCAACCACTGTCTGGAACACACTGTAAACCCAAGCAGGCTGCAATTGAACAAGAAAATGCCAAATATTAATAAATTCTGTGACCTTACCTCACAATCAGTTTATTTTCCCATCATAATTTTGCAGTATCTGCCACTACAGTAACCAAGGGATGGTTATAGTGTTGAACAAAATGAGGAAGCAGGGCAGACAATATGTTATGGAAGCTACATGTGGTGTGCAACATATATATACAATAAAACACAATTTCTTACAACACAGACAATAGACATCACTCATTGTCCAAATTATGAACAGGATAACAGTGAATATATTTTTTACATATAATGTGAAGAAAACTGTATGAAATGAAACTAATATAATGGATGAAGAAAATACATGAAAACATTACACAATATTTGTAAGAAATTAATAACTCAAATTAAGAAGTGTTGAAGACAATTTGTCCACCTGCATGAAAAGCCCTAGGGCATCCATTGCAAAGAATCAAATCTCCTCCATCTCCACATACTGCACACATATCATCGCTGTCTCCAGTGGTAAGGTTTTGACCATTTGCCAATGAGAGAGCTATATCATGAAGTGTTAATCCATTGGAAGTATATATGTGTCGGTAACTGCAAAAGGACAAGATTATTTCAAGATGACGAAAAATACACCAGTCTATTTAGCTGCTTATAAATTCTACTCACGGTTGACGCCTAGCAGCCATTCCAGCATGAGCTTCAAACTGTGAAGGGCTTATCTGTTTGCACATGAATGCAAATGGTAAAAGCTTATCTTAGCATTTATGTTTATATAAAAATAAAACATTTTGTGCACAGTTATGTGACCATATACCTCCATATCACAACAAGCACAGACTATTCCGTTCCCCTGTTTGTAACCTCCAAGTAATTTCTGAAATGCACAAATCAAATATTGAAAAGAATAAAAATTGTGGGCAAATCAACCCATAAGCACAAAATGACAAAATATTTAAAGAAAATATTAAGACACCTGTCCTTTGACATAGTAAGCCAATTCAGCACCATCTGGTAGTCCATTTGGCATAAAAAGTAACCTGTGTAAATCGTTGTCCCTGATAAAAGCAAAAAAATCAAATTCCAACTACAGTAGCTAAGATATTGCAGTTCACACGGAGAAGCTAGAAAAGACAAAGAAGCACAGAACAGGCAACCCCAAAAACAATAAATGTACCTTCTCTTGGTGCAACCATCAGCACTTTTCTTCAGCAGTACACCTGAGTTAGAAGTGTAGGAGCTTGACCTGCAGAAAAGGTGTACCGTCAAAATTTGAATATTAAGGAAAGGTCTATAATTTAATATGACCAGATAACCTTATATGCAGACCGCTCAATCTCATTCTCAAGAATCAAGTATGGGTATTAATAATTGAACCAAGAGAGAGGACAAACTTTTTCACCACACGTTTCCACTCGTCAGTGGTCTGATTCATATACATTTGCTGCTCATAATGACTTGGTACATGCAAAGATGACAAGTGACTTGTACCATCTACAGATTGACTGAAACAACAATTTAAAGGTAGAAGTTTTGTCAGTCCTTTTTTCTTTAAAAATTGAGCCAAATTTCATTAGCATAATGACAAAATATTTGAAAATATTAAACATTTGACGGACATATAAATAAAATTGAATTTACAGCTGTCCAAAATTCCAAAATAAAAAATAAATTGGCAGCATTCATGGATGAAAACCCCGGTGAAAACCAAATTGTTTTCTTTTAACGCCCATGGAATTATGAAATTTGATTAAGTTTCAATCATCAAGCACCAATTCCCAAATCTCAAAAGAACTGCCTGACAAAGAATTAGGTAAATTATTCTATTCTTGAGTTCACAACTAACAAGGTTTTATTGTCAAAGTACAAACATATGCATTCATTCACATGCTTTAGTGATGTGAAGTAAGATAAGGGGATCACAGAAACAAAGCCTGAGATGTTATTCTTGCTTAAGGGGGTCCATTGAACAAATGGACAAAGGATGTGGCTAACTATTGATGTCTTGACATTTGAGAGCATGTTTCCCTTTTAGCATTAAGTAAACATGTTGACAGCAAGAACTACTTCTGGTGGGGGGAATCAGATATGTCCTGATCGGTATAAAATTCCTTAATTGTACAGGGTGCATGTTTCCAAATGAATTAAACAAGCAGAATAAGCAAGAGATAGAGAATGCCCAACTGCTTTATTCTTTTCTTTTTGGGTTTATTTTTGGTTTACCTTATCTTTGTATGAGGCATGCCAACAAGCTTGGTGCCATAATTTTTATAAGCTTGAACCCTGCCGTTGCTTTGTAGAAGACTTTCTGCAGAACCCACGGCAAAGAGAAAATATATATAAGAAAAATCAAGACCTAAAGCAAAGCAAAAGAAACACCTATTACTATTTCCCATGAATAATCTGGCACCATATGCTTAACGTGTCTTCCCATGCAAGTTGCAGCAACAACATGCATGGGTTACTCTATATTTTATATCTTTATTCCTTCCAGTTCCTGGATTTTTTTGATGATAACCATTACTTATAAAACCATTCATAAGCTTTCACCTAACAGCTTAAGCTTCTTGAAAAGTTGGAGAGATTGGTAATAAAATTCTCCTAGAGGATAAGATCATAAGATTATATAGTGATTAACTCTAAACAGAACAGAGGAGGAAAAGAATTCTTTATGCCCACAGTTTTTGTAATCCCTCTGTTTCAAAATAAATTTTGTACACGGTTTTGCACAAGGATTAAGAAAGTTGCTAAATATTCTAATTTCAAGGAAATATAAGTATATTTAACTATGTTACCCTTTCACACCATTAATGCTTCTTATTCCCATTTAGTGCTGATTCCAAAAGACAGGGATAAAGTTGGACAAAAAAAATTATGTTTTCTTAGTTTTCTAAAGTGACAACTGATGCATACTCTAAAACAGCCAAAACCTCTAAAATTACAATTATTTTGAAACAAAGGGAATATCTACTGTCTAGGATGAATCATTCAAGCAAAGGTGGTAGGTACAGGTGTTCTCTCCAAAACAAGTCAAGGCCAACTGAATAAAAGAGAGATGTTTGTGATTGAAAAAATAAATAAATAACTTCAAGACTGCAGGAAAATCTTTACAACATTTTCATAAATCCCACTATACTTAAACTGTAACATGTGGGCTACTAAGAATATAGAAGACCGGAATGTAGCAGAAATAAAAATATTACCGACTGATACTTTCTAATCTCCAAAAAAAAATGTTACGTACTTAACAAAATGCTCGGATCAAAGGGTGATTTAAAACTTTTAATAGAGGGGAGGGAAAGGCAGGGATTCTAAGAAGGGAGAGGAGGAAAAAAAATACTATTATACCTTATTGTTGATAAATAATGTAATTACACTTAATTAATAAAGTTGGGGATATTAGTCAGCAAAACCTAGAAGCTTTAAGTATTTTTCCACGCTTCAAATCCAGGATGAATCATTCAAGCAAAGGTGGTAGATACGGGTGTTCTCTCCAAAACAAGTTAAGGCCAACAGAATAAAAGAGACACGTTCATGATTGAAAAATAAATAAATAAATAACTCCAAGACTCCAGGATAAGCCTGCAACATGTGGGCTACTAAGAATATAGAAGACCAGATTGTAGCAGAAATAAATATTACCAACTTATACTTTCTAATCTTCAATTAGAAAAAAATGTTAGAAACTTAACAAAGTGTTTGGTTCAAAGGAAGGGAGTGATTTAAAACTTTTAATAGAGGGGAATGAAAGGCAGGGATTCTAAAAGAGGGGAGAGGTGGACAAATACTATTATACCCTTATTGTTGATAACTAAAGTAATTACACTTCATTATCAAGGTTGGGGATAATTTAGTCAGTAAAACCTAAAAGCTTTAAGTATTTCTCCTCACTGTCAAATGCCCCCGCCCCCATATTCTGGCAGTAAAAAGAGTGATACAGAAGGACATGAGTTTCTTATCAAAACTTCTTGCCAGTCTTAATATTAGTTATTTGAGACTGGCATAATTTGTAATCATAATTCAAAACCAAAAAAAAAAATATATACATTCAACAAGCATGCATACACATAGCCTTTTTGTGTAGTCATTCTTCCATCAACATGAAGCAATGAACCCAAAACTCGCTAGGCTTCAACAATGAATTTATATGCCAGAGAAATGTGATTCTCACCTTTCCAAACCTGGAAGGACTCCTCATTGACAGATGAACCAGCCACATTCTTTATAACCTCATCTAGTATACTGAGTGGAGCAGTTTTTATTTCCTGTATAATACTATATATTGGTCTTCCATTTTCTAAGAATATATGATTATTTGGATGTCTAGTCTTGGCTCCAGCATGCTGCTCGAACTCGTAGGCACTAAGAACCTGAGAAAATGATAAAATTAGCCATCTTGTAAATACAGAACAAAAATCTGCGAACATAATGAGAAATAAAGGGCATGTCTTACTCTAGAGTAATTGCACATTGAACAGCCACACAAATATCCACCACCCTCAATAACCCCCTGCAGCTCAACCTGACAACAACCTCAAAAAATAAGAAGAAACCAAGTATAAGAAAAGAAAAAGAAAAAGACAATGAATGTCTGTTATACCTTTCCAGGATTGTAAATATACTTCACTATAGCTCCGTCAAGGATGCCGGTTGATAACAGTTTTTTAACATTTGTAGGGTAGCAGCTGGGAACTACTTTCTTGGACATTTTCAATTCCATATTGCGAGTGTACAAATCTAAATCTCCATCCCGAGAATATCCCATTCCACACGGGCTTTCTAGCATCCCACCACTACAATCATCCCTTGCCGAATATTCTTCATCATACCCATGAAAGCCAATGGGATTGCCATCAGTATAAAGAGCAGGACGATGCACAGGAGCAGGTGGCTGGTAACCATAGTCCTCCTTCTTTTTACTGAACTTAAAAGTAATCTTCCTGATCCCAGATGAACTAGCATGCTTGGGAATTTCCATCACGACACAGGATGTCATTGCAGCACTACTCGTGTCCTTATCACTCTGAGAAGTATTGTTATTATTCTGATCACCGGCTTCATCACTCAAGGTCTCAACAGAACTTGAATTCTCCAAACAAGTAGACGTTAGTTCCCCACACTCTGCGTGGCTAACATTGGCGGATTCAGTCGGTTGACTAACATTGGCCGATTCAGTTGGTTGGCTACTGATATCTTGGAAAGTTAGCGCATGCTCTGCTGCAGAAACGTTCGGGTTGGAAACCTCGGAGCGCACTTCATCAATTGAAACTTCTTTTGCTTGTTTCTTATTAGGAGACAGGTGAGGTTCAGTGTCAACAATGCATTGGTTGTAGTCACGCTTCAGTTCGGTCCTTGATTCCTCATTGTTTTCCTTCCTTCCTTCTTCTAATGCATGCACACAAATCGCTTCTTCTCCCATCAAAATCAAAGAACAGAGCCCGTGAAAATTCAAACGTGGTAACAGCCAGAAAAACAACACTACCGCACAGCATTCACGAAGAAACCGAACCGGACTTGAATTTCCACTCGAGATTCGTTTCAAATCAACGCCTACGCACAAAATTGAGGATTCGAGACACAGTTTTCGATCAATTCGCGAACGGAAAACACTTAAATAGCAACGAAAAACAACAACAGTCAATAATCCAATCTATACGTCCAGAAGAAATTCGGACACGGACGTTTGAATCAAATAAAACAGCGCAACCGGTTAATTCATTTCATTTCAATTTGCATACACAAAAAGAAGAACGACAATAACAGACAGTAACAAACCTACCTCAAACCACAACACCAATAAAAAAAATCCAAAAATCAAATCCAATGAACCTTGGATCCCTAAAAATAAAAGAAAATCGAAACACACGCTGGAAGCGCTATGAATCGAGTTTTCAAGTAACAGATCTGAGATTGGTAAAGAGCACTGAGTTGTGCACTTGACGAGATTCGAAAGAGGGAAGTGAGATTCAGCAGTGTTAGGGTTTGGTTGGACGGAGGATAGAGAGCGAAAGTTGAGAAAGCGGCAACGAACTGAAGCGAAAGGGTTGGTTCGCGGTTGAGATTTCAACTTTATGGAAAGCAGAGAGAGCAGAGGGCGATGAGTTTCGTAAAAAGAAACTACCCCAAAATTAAATAAAATAAAAATAAATAAAAATAAAAATTGTCGTCACGATCTTTCAGAAGAAGCGAGAAGACAAATGGATAAACGTGATGGGACCCACGAGAGTTGGGCCTGTTATGTTCCACTACGTGGCATTGCTGGGATCTATCGGCGGCCCTCCTCAGCCGTTTTTTCATCAAGTATCGACCAAGTTAACACGTGTGAAGGGTCATCCATCGACTTATAAGCCAAGAAAATGTAAAATATGTTGGGCTATTTTGAATGGGTAAAGTACTGTGGACAGGGTAACTTCCATTCCGAAGCTTTGTAAATGTCCAACTCGGCCCAATTTATTCAAGAGCGTCTTCTTAAAATTTCTTACCATTAAAATTTTAAATTTTTAATCAGTATTTACCTTGTTCACAAAACATATAAGTATTCATTATTCATTTAAGCCTCATATCTGACTATGATAGGATAATGATTGGATAAAAATATGAGTTGCACTCAACATATCATTTGTTGGATAATAGATATGTTATTAAATGTGAATAAATAATTTATTTAAAATTCTATTTAATAAACTTTTATGTAATAAGAATTTATGTTATAAATGTTTAAAATTTAATAAGTTTTTGTATTTGGATATATATTTCAATAAGTATTTATATTATTTTAAAGGGTTTAAATATATTATTATTTAAATACTTATAAGTTATAAGATTTATCTCATTTTTTAAAAAAATAAATTTTGATTGAAGGTAAAATAAAAATGTGAAAAATAACTAATTAATTTTTAAAAATGACATTATACATCACAATAATATTGAAAATGATAAAAAAAAATTACTAACCACCATTCACCTAATTTTAGTTTATAAAAAATAAAATTAATAATAAAATATGAAAAATCAACTATATATACAACCATAATTAAAAATTAAGAGTTATAAATTTTATAAATTAAAAATCAACTCTATATATCTTATAAAATAATGGTTAAGAAAATTGTATAAATATCCGCAACAAAATCATTCTATATGTTCTATTTTAGAGAGAGTAAAAAGTAACGATTTTTTTTTATAATAAATGAATGTGGATTTTGAGGAAAGAGATGGAAAAAAATTAAGTTTATAAGTCGGTGACAAGTTACTATCTTATAACTAAATATGTCCCTGTCTTGTATATTGGTATTTGAGTGAAAGTTTGTCTTTCATACACTTTTATTCATTTAAAATATCTTAGAAATTTACAAACATCAACTAGGAGAAAAAAATTATTTGAAATTTGTTACAGGTACAAAATAATTTTTAAAATTTTTTAATTGCTTTCAATTATTCATCCGTGAAGAAATATTTTTAGTATTAAATTCTAAGATATTGTAATGTCTTATGTTAATTTTATTTTTTAAAATATAAAAAAAAATCCTAATTTCACAACATAAAAATTAAAAAATGAAATTCATAGTAAAAAAAGAAATAAAATAATCGTTGAGTCATAAAAGGGGGAAGGATAATAGTAACAAATTCAAGGGAGGGAGAGAGATCATAGTTTTTATGGTAGGAGGGTTCTTCCCCAACTAAGATTCATTCTTATCTTATTCTAATCACAGAAACTCTAACTCAAATTCATCTTATATATATATTCTAATAAATCTAAATTGATTACAAGGTCTTGAAGATCTACAGTTAATTATAGAGACCATGATATTTAGCTTTCACCTTTCTCTTTTCTTGACACGTGTTATAAAAAAATTACTACTTAAAAGTTAAAATTTCAAGCGTTTTCTATGTTATATATCTGAGGAGCAAACTCAACTAAATAGAACAAAATAGAGTAAGTCAATTAAAGATAACAAAGAGAAAAATAGAGCAAGTCAATGACATTATTATTTACGTATAGGAGTTTCACCAAATAGGGGAATGAAATGGGAACAGTAATACATTATTATATATGAGCAGTAATGTAGTATTATTAGTAGAAAAAAATGGAGAAGACATGAGCATAGAAAAAAAAATAAAAAACTTACTTGAAAATTCTTGTAAACTAAGAATAAGCTATACCGAATGATTTATCAAAATAAGTTCAAAATATTTTATGGACTATTCATAAGATATTTTATAAGTTTGTCTAAATATTTTTATAAATATTTATAAAATAAAATGAGTTATAATAAGCTAGCCACAAATTCTACTGAATAGGACTTAAATCTTATGTTTGATATAGATTAAATAATATCATGATTAGTAAATGGGTATTCTCCATATATTGGAAGTAATGATGAGAATAGGTCAAAATAAGCCAAACTTTGAATATGTAAGTTGGATCTATTATGTAAAATTAGAGTCAAAATCTAACCTATCATCTTTTTTGTTTTTCGCATTAGTTCTTAAAGTTTTATCTTAAGTCAATCTGATTGGTCAAGAGATAAGTAAAGTCTAATCTATTATCTACCATAAACTTTTTTATAAGTTTGGCTTGAAATTCTTAAAAGTATAGTATGCTTTATTAGCTTGTTTAAAAGCTAGCTTATTATACATTAATAAGCTAGTAAATTTAATTTTAAATAAATTAATAAATTTATTTTTAAATATGCATGATTTTTTTTAATCTACATGATAAAAAAATAGTTGATTTTATTATTATTAAATTTTTAATTTTGAAAAATGACAAATGGAAAACTTGTACATATTCTTGTTGACTTGTACACATGTTGCAATGAAAGAGAGTAATTTTACCAAAAAAAAAAAAACTTTCTACATATCCCATGTATCCAATTTGAAATATTATAAATAATCAACCATAAAAATAAAAGGAAAAAAAGCAAGTAAAGATGTGGTGACTATAATTTTTAGTTTCTATTTATTGATTTCGTACAAACGGAAAATGTAAAATATTTAAATATGGTAAAAATGTAAAAAAAGATATATAATTTATTTTTTTATTATAAATTATTTATTTAAATATATTTTTAATAATGTAATATGCGTATTAATTCTTATTATATTATATACTGACAAACAAACTTTTTTATAAACCTGAGTTTAATCTTTTAAAATAAATATAAATATGTTTTTTAAAAGGATAAAACTTAGGTACAATTTTTGTGGTTAGTGTTATTCTCCAAATAAAATTAGAATTTTACTTTAGTAGTATGCATAAATGTATATTAATAAGACCTACATTAAGTACAAGTGCATAATATCGAGATAAAATTTTAACATTGATTGAAGAACAACACCAAGTGCATCTAAGAAATTGTATCTAAGTTTTGCCTTTTTTAAAAGTTTAAACAAGTTGGGTCAAATCACAAATTCTAATTTAAGGTTTGGTCTATTTTCATCCCTAATAGGAATGAATTTACTTATTTCAAAAGTAATTCTTCGTAAAGTTACTTTACTTAATATTTTGTATTTTACGTTAAATTTTAACGATCTAACTATTAAATTAAAAGTTCTTAAAGAATATATAAATGTACAAATTTTTACAAACTTTGAGCTTTTTTTGAAACTTCATTACATTAACTCAAACTAGTAGTCAAAAAGGCACTACATTGTTTTTTAAAATTATTTTTGTCTATTTTTTTTATCAATTATTAAGGATAAAGTAGATATCAATTTTTTCTTTATTATTATTTTAGATTTTAGATCAATGGTTATTAACAAAATTATATTATATGTTAGTTTCTCATATTTTTATTATTTGTAGGAATTACAAAGACAACAATAATATTCAAACTTAAGATCATATGTATATTACTTCGTCTCCCACTTAAATTGCACTTTCAATACCTCTATTTCACCAACTCACAATTTTTGTCCTTCTATTTTAAAATTAAGATATTTAGTCCCTTTAATTTTAAAAATATGATATTTTGATCTTTCTATTAAATTGACACCTTTTAATATTTAAATTTCAATGTTTACTCATATTTAAGTGATATAACATATAATAACAAGACATTAGAAGTAAAAATAAAAATAAAAAACTAAAAAAAATGTAAATAAGAATTTTATTAATCAAATAAATATCAATCACTCATAAAAATAGACACAAATGAATATTTTTTAATTATTTTTTAATTTTTATCCTTATATGTCAAGTAACTAAATATCATGTTACTTAAATGATGATAAGATCGATTAATTGTTATTGTAATTAGTTGTTTAATTATGTAAAACTCTAAGAGTGTGTTTGGATACAAAATAAAAATGGAATAATTAACTTTTTTTAAGAATTTCAAATGCTTTAGAGTGAAATATCTTGTTTGGATGGACATTTTTTAAACAATTTGAAATCCAATCATTTGTAAAATTTCTTAAAATAGTAAAATTTTAAATTCTTTTAAAAAAGTAAAAATTTGAAATTCTTCATTTTTTTCTTCATCTCGCTTGTATATATATATATATTTGTACCTTTCCCTTATCTCTTATATTTCCTTTTGTTTCTCTCTCTCTTTCATCTCTCGTATTCTATTATTTTCTCTCCCTTCTCTCCTCTCTTACTCTCCCTCTTTCCTTTTTTTTGCTCTCCTAAATTATTTTCTTTCTTCTTTCTCTAATATATCAATAAATTTTTTAGTTATTGTACTATCCGTACCGCCATGCCGAGCTCGAACTCGGCATCTCAGCGCAAAAGTGACCTCGGACACACGCTGAGCGACGTCAGCTCGGTATTCAAATAGGTTATAACTGATCTCGGGCCCAAGGCCCAACAAAACCCTAATTCACACTAAGGTACGTGCATTACTTATACGAGACTCACACTCCCACAAACCCTAACTTTAGCATCGGAGTCTCTTTTGCAGGTACCACCCCCATCTTGGAGCATCAAACGTACCAGTAAAGGAGGCTCACCGATCTTACCCAGCGGACCACCTCTACATCGGATCCCCGGTAATAACATTTGGCGCCCACCGTGGGGCTGATCAAGACAGCTCTTATCGGCCACCCTTATGATTTTCACCAGAAGCCATAGCAGACGCGCAACAGACGACCTAGATCACGCAACTAGCATGGACAACG